TGCGAGCAAAACTACTTGTCTTGTTCTGTAACAAGAATTAAATGTACTTTTGTTTGTGTTTGGTGAACACGTGGGTGTCAAATCTTGTACTCATACTAGTATACTTGTATATTGACCCGTTTTGTCTCTTGGCATCTCGGGTGCTTTCTGTTGAGCGCAGCCGAGTTTCCTTTGCAGGATTAGTTGGGACTACGGTGGTGACGAGAAATAACTATAGTTGTTGGACATGTCTCTTGGACTTCTTTTGTTTTCTTGAGCTTAGGGTTGATATTAGTTTATGTATTTATTATTTTTTTATGACCTTAGTATTTTGATAATTTGGCATGGTGGGTTATTTTGTAACTTTATATTATTTAAGTTGTTTTGACTATTTGTTGTTACTTTAATGTTGGAGGTATTGGATAGTTATGCGATTATGATGCATGGATTGGTTGGCGTTTGTTAATTTTTTTTTATTCCTTGTATGTGTATATATATATATATATTTGTATTGAAATTTATTTAAATCTTATGGAGATGAGAATATTTAGATTTTGTTTCCCCCTTAGAATTTGGATGATGGAATATTGATTGGGATTTAGTCCTAATTTAATAATTAATTGTCCAAATTTTTGGGGCGTGACACCACTGTTCTCGGACTCGTTCCAACACCCAAAGACCTAAGTCGACGCCTCGAAATACACTTCTAGATGAGAATGAATAATAATAAGGAGAAGAATAGGTGACAACACGTGATTCAAAGGGTTCAAAAGTGGTAAGGATAGTAATATGGAATAGAAATTTTGAATTAACATTGTTAAGTTGTTTAAAAAAACTCAAGACATCACACTCCCGCATAGTAAGAGTTTCAAAACTAGTGGTGAGCCTTTGAAATTTTGAATGTTTAATAGAAGTTGTGCCCTCATGAATTGTCTCAAGGATATCCTTAGTCTCTTTTGCTACCTCACAAGTGCAAATGCGACAGAATTCCTCCGGTATGACGAAGAAAAATAGAAAATTAAGTGCCTTACTATTCCAACTAGAGTTTTGATAATCATTCATGTCACATTTATCAATTGGTTTAGGAATTGTGACATCCTCAATGGTCACCAAAGGTTCACTCTACCTATGAATGACAGAATGACAAACTTTCTCATCAATAGATTTTAAAAAGGCTCACATTTGAGCTTTATAATATAAGTAGTTTGTTCCATCAAATAAAGAAGGACGATGGGTGGAGTTACCCTTATGAATTGAATCCATATTCACAAATCACACAAGATCACACTCTTATAGCTTTGATAAAAACACAATAAAAGAACAGTGATCCGCTTTGACACTAATTGAAAAACCTAATTATGTGATTCATGATCTATGACAATAAATAATTCACCAAATTCCCAAACAAATGGACAATCTAAATCATCAAGCCAAGAGGGATGAGATTTAGATTGATCCTACACAATTGGCAATCCAACAGTACTGATTTAACGTGGAAAAAAATCACAATTGGATAACTCCAATTGTGATATATATATATATATGTAAAAAAATAAAAAATAAAAAGACCCAAGATATATGGTATATATTTAAATTGGTTTGATATGAGTCCTATGTAAAATAATTGTAATTTATAAATATATTTTTTAGGTTTTTTTTTTAATTTTTTTTACAATATTGCTTATAAATAAAAAGAAAATTACAAATCAATGGAACAATAAAAATATAATTGCACTATAGATGAAATTTTTCAAGGTGCAATTATGACACACAAGATAAATTTGCACCATGCATAGGAATGATTTGCACTATATATATAGAAAACTTATACCACCAAGAAAATAAAAATACTTTTTCACGCAAGTTGGTGTGTAGCTGCACCTTAGGGTGCAGTGAGGAAATGTCAGGGAGTTCGAGCTGATGGATCAGCGGCAATCCTTTAAGTGGTACACTAACTTTACTAACAAACTAACAAATCTACTCTTAGAATGTTGACAATTTTTATTTTATTTTTTTTGTAATTTTTGTAATTTTCCCCCCAAAAAAAAAATCTCAATAATTGTTATGCGCAGTGCGGTTTAAACGGTTTGAGAATAAAATTATAAACTAAACTGTGAATGGTGGATTGACAAATAACCAAACTACGATTTGGGCTGTTTGGAGAGTTTCAATTTGGTAGTTGACTAAAGAATATTCTTAAACAATTATCAAACATTTGCATAATATCTAACACTAATTTGCATAATATTTTTCATATATATAACACAAACTAATTTTATAAAATATAATATATATAACTACTAATTTGTAACAAATTTCACATTTTAAATCTCTCATACTCATTTTTATTTTGACATTTTATTAAAAATTAAAAATATATATATATATATATATTAACTATTGTATAGAGGAACCATTTCAAAGACAGATTATAAATTTCATAATTTAATATGAATTTAATCCATGATTGACAAATAGATCGATGTGAATTAGTGCTATTTTGGACGGTATACTATTTTGCACAACTCTAAATACGAGTAAAGCAGACAAAAGCACGTTTCACACCATTTGGATCAGGCCGTGGGGATGCGTTTCACGACTAAAGCGTGATTGGAAAAAGTAATTTTGCTTGCTGAGCTGAGTTAAAAACCACTACCGCATAGAAATGCCAATCTATATATTAAGTGGAAGGAGATTTTTAATCTCAAGATTTATGAGAGTTTTAATCTCTCAATCTAAATTTTTTAATTTTTGGATTTAAAAAAAAAATCTTAGCATTTATTAACTTCTCTCAACTTCCAAGTCTTATCATCATAATAATACTTTAATGCATTAAGAACAAGTATAAAAAAAAATTATTGAAAAGTCTAACACATATGATTATTATCAAAATATTAAACTTTAATATAATATAATTAAAAAAAAGACATTTAATTCCTTGAAAAGTCCAACACATAAGATTATTATAACTCATAATAACCCGGGGTGCGACCCCCACTAGGGGCTGTAGCAAAATTGTATTTTACACCCTCCTAATCGTGGAGTTGCGTATCACAACTTAAGCGTGATTGGAAAAAGTAATTTTGTTTGCTGAGGTAAAAGCAACTAGCGCATAGAAATGGCAATGATTCAAAAGTATAAAGTAGATTTTATTGGGAGATATTTTCAAAAATTATTTTTAAATGAATTTTTCTTTATTTTTGCTGAATTTTATTTATATCTTAATTAATTTTATAATTTTATTTTTTAAATACATCAAGATTAGATGTTTTTAAAAGTAAAAAAAAATAATAATAACTAAAATATGAAGAAAAAAATTCGCTAAAAACAAACGAAAATTTGAACAAAAAATGTACACAAATTTTCATTTAAATTTTTGTTTATTTTTAGTATTTTTTAAAATATTTTAGCTAATTTATTTTAGTTTTTAGATGCATCTTGATTAGACGCATCTAAAAGTTACCCCAAAAAAATGATTAAAATATGTAAAAAAATTCACTAAAAATAAACAAAAACTCATATAAAAATAATTTTTAAAAAATCAAATCAATCAGACCCTAGCTTTTTCCAAAAAATGGTTTTTTTTGGCTTTCTTGGCCAAATTAGGTTTTAGTGGAAAGTGAAACCCCTTAAGTGCTGCACACTGTATGCACAATTTATAAAAGTGATTTAACAAAAATGTGTAAGTCAAATAGAAATTCACGACAGTCTATTCATAAAAACTTTAAAATTCACAAAAATATGTAAATTTTTGCAAACTTACACAAGTCATTTAAAAATAATGTATAATTCAAAGTACAAAAATACATAATAAAAATATATACATATGATATGCAATGCACACTTAAAAGTTTTCCTATTAAGAAAAGAGTTAGGAAACATTAGTATTTTAACAAATAAATTGCATTCATATAGGGTATCTATGTGATACTAAAATTCTTGAGTGTGCAAGGCATAATAAAACTAGGGAGGCAGCTCGGGCGGATTTAGTCAGGTTGGTAGGTTATCTAAATCCAGTTCGAGTTGTGTTGAGATCTACTCAGGCTCGTCCAGGCCCGAATTGTAACCCGATGTTGTCTATCCAAGCTCGTCCTGAGTTAAACTCGAATTGCTCGAGTTGCCTAAATTGTCCGAATTGTAAATCAATTTCAGATTTTTTTTTCCAGCTACATTATTAAATTATTAAATTTTGACTCTATTTATATTTTTTTTATATAGAAAATCATTAACACCATCAAAACAAATAATTTATATAATGTAAGAGAGATCTCGCTGTAGCAGTCTTTACAATTTATGAGTGAAAATAAAAAAAAATAAAAAATAAAAAAATAAAGATTTTATGCTATTTGTATATATAATATATATTCAATATGATTTAATAATATAAATTACTTTAATATCATTTAATGACTAATAATTTATATATATTTAATATTTTTATATATCTATATATGTATAATTCGAGTTTCAGGTTGCTTTTGGGTTATTTGATATCTTTGTCCAAACTTGTCCAAATTTAATTTGAGTTTTTGAATATTTATCCAAATTCGTATAAAATTTAAAAATATCTTATCCAAACTCTAAAAAAAATCAAGCTGAATGCGGGTTGTTCGGGTTGAGCCGCCCAAGTGCCAATCTATTTAAAAAAAAATTTAATTCACAAAAATACGTAAATGTTCATAAATTTACACAAATCATTTAAAAAAATATATAATTCAAAGTACAAAAATACAAAATAAAAGTATATACATATGGTATGCAATGCACACCTAAAAATTTTTCTATCAAGTAAAGAGTTAGGAAACATGAGTATTTTAACGAATATATTATATTTATTTCCGGTATTTATCTGATATTAAAATTCTTAAATGTGCAAGACATACGATATATAATTTATTTGTATATTTTGTGACTAAAGATGATCAACGAATCATCTGACTAGCCCAACCCAACCTGAAGAGTTTTGGGCAGGCAGATGCGAGTCTGATTTTCTGCCTTTCACAGGTACGGGTCAAGTAGTTGATCTCGCTTCTGAGCTGCACCAACCCGACCCGCTCGTTTTTTTTTTTCTCGAAATTTGTGCGCGCAGCAGCCCCAAACAAAGAAAGGAAATCATTTTGCCCTAACCTTTCTCTCACTCTCTTAAACACCCTAAGGCCTTTTTAGCTTCCTGAAGAGTCGGGGCACCACCAAAGACGAGTCTCGGCATCGGCTCACCGATCATCTGCTCCTCCACACTGTCGGCGAACACCCGCTCGTTGAGCTCTCAACACGACCTCTACACCGCCGCGTCGATCTGCGAAGCCGTCAAGGCGCTCGATTCACGTCATCAGAAGACGAAACGACCGCCGACGCAGGACAAGAGGGGATCGAATGCAGCGAGCAGCGACAAGGGGCGTGGAGCTGTGAGCGGCGGTAATTTCTCCTCTTCTCTTATTCTCTTCCATTCTCCTCTCTTTTTTTTATGTGACAGATTTACAATTTCAAATATATTGTGTTCATTTTTTTATGTGTTTAATTTTTGTTTGTTAAATATTAAATATTGTTGTTTGTTAATCTGTTAGGATTAACAATCTGTTTGTTAATATGTTTGGGTTGAACCATCCAATGGTTTTTTTGTATGGGGTTTCATTTTCCTTATCCCAGAAAAGAAAATCATCCCATACTTTTCTTTGATGGGTTTTCATTTTGCTTATTATTTTGGTTGGGCTATATTGTAGTGAATTATAACTTGAAATTTTTTTGAAAATTTGTAAAGTTTAAACCGCCAAACAGGTAACATTCATCTGTCAATCTGTTCAAGCCGCATTTGTGAACTAAGCAGACAGATGCAGATTGATTTTGGGCGGATGGAAGATGGGATGTCACCCGACCCAATCCAAACTGCGAGCACCCCTAAGTTACACACTTCTGGGAGAACTTACGACACATTTTATAGGTTAATTTATGAGATTTTACATTAAGTTGTGATTTTTTAAATTTTTATGAATTAAATTACATGAATTTGTGTTTAAGTCATACGATTTTGTGAAGTGATTTACATATGTTTGTGAGAACTTACGGTAAATTGTGATTTTTTAAATTTTTATAAGTTAAGTTACGTGATTTTATGACATGACTTACTTGTGCTTGTGAGAACTTACGCCAAGTTGTACATGGTGTGCAACCCGTGCCATATGGTGTATCCTTAAAGGGTTGCATACCCAAACACTTTACCATGGTTTGTGAGTTATTTAATATAATGACATTCAATTTTCATTTATAACTCTACTTTTGAATTAAATGTGAACCTTAGGTTGAATCTTAACAAATTAAATTATTTTAACTAATTTTTTGCATAACTTCAAATTAAAAATAAATATTTTTTACAAAAATACCAAACAAGATCTATATTTTTGTTAAAAAAAAATTAACCAATCAACGTATTCGTATCATAGAATACTCATACACATACTCGTGTTTCATAGGTTTAAGTTCAATAAGACTTAGGTCTATTTTGAGAAGTCACAATTTTAATTAAAAAGTCGCAATAAAAAAAATTTAACTTTCATCACTATTTTATTTATTTTTTTGGTAAAAGCCTCTTTGTATAAAATTAAAAAATGACCGAAAAAAATTAATCCTACAAACAATCTTTATTCCTAATTTACGGGAAGCCAATCACTTCACAACACGTCATCCAAGCAATTAAAAGCATATCACAATGCTGTACTTTTTCTCTCTAAAATGGCTTCTCCATGTCAGTCTAGGTCTTCACCAAGAAACATAGCAAGCTCAAATCTCAACAATCGATCGTCTCTATTCCTTTGCTTATAAAATAAAAATTTTCTAATCAAGAATTATATATTTGATTTCATTTTGGATTATATTGATTGTTTTGAAAAGATAGTTAAAAGTTAATTTTTTAATTTTTTTAAACTTTTTTTACCATTTTATGTGAGAGATAATGTGATTCAAAATGGATTAAAAGCTTACTGTCGACTTTTAACTTATGTTTCCAAAATGGGCTTAAATTTGAAGAATTTTTTGTTAAGACCTGTGAAGTGTTAAGTATGGATACTTTGAAACCGTACGCGTAAAGATAGAGCTGTAAGCGTATTACATATTCAACATACGTGCCGAGTAGACTTTGTATGTTCTTTTGGCAATTAAGTACTCTATGAGTACTCCGTGGGTACCCTGTGGGTACAAGAACTAATGAGTACAAAAAGATATATATGAAAACATCAATGGAAAGAGGCTAAGGAAAATACATCATCGCAAAAGAGCATATCCCATTTTAGTTGGCATACACTATCATGTGCAAAGACCAAAGGCAAAACGAAAATGAAAGAGTTGCGAAGTGCCAACAAACTGGCAGACAAATAAAATGAGATCAAACAATTCAATCCCCCAACAAAACCCGCCCAGTACCTAAAAACAAAGTAAGCCTAGGTACACCAATAAAACTAGAAAAGCATAATCATACACCATAAAATCTATCTCAATTAAGGACTAAAAACTAAAAAATAGAGAGTACATGGAATAAAATTGTCAACACAACTTATTTTTCTATAACATCAATTTATTTATTTTTTTAGCTTAAAATTCTTAAAATAGTTTTTTTTTTTTTTGTTTTTATTTTTTGGCTCAAAAGATAAAAAATTTTGTAACTTGAAATTTAAAAGAACTGTACTATATTTAAAAGAACTTGAAATTGGTAAGAAATCTAGCAGTAATCGTTATCGTTTCTGGCTTTCTATTTGCAATACCTATATCTTGAGTGTTACAACAAGAAACTCTACAATAATCTAAATCTACCAAAATCTCAAACAAATTTGATATTATCAAACAAATAATCCTTGCAGGAAAACCAAATAATCGATTGGACACCCAACTGATATGATCATTTACTCAATGTTTTCCTCCATCGTCGTCCCTACAATGGAATCAACAACATTCATTTTCAACTCACCAATTGCTTTCCTTTCTTTTTGGTGTTTGTTTTTTTTTTCGTCTGTTTTAATGTATATTTGTGTGTATCTATTCTTTTTCATACTAAGAAATTATAAAATGCCACTAGGTAGTGAAAAAGCAAATGAAAGCAGTTGAAACAACGGATATCTATTCATAATTATATATTCAAACACCACTAAGAAATCTTCAGGACATACCTCATTCTTCTCCAACCAAGCTAGTTTCCCAAAGCACCCTTAACCTTAAGTTGATCAATGAAAAGGGAGCTAAAGAACAAAACACGAACAGGAAACTCAATCTTCAATGGTAGAGAGAGAGAGAGGAAAGTAGTATGTAAACTTGGTTTGAGGGCTTTATAATTTATGCTGATAAAGAATACAGTTGCAATATCAGGTCTTCTTTGGTGTAGTTATTAAAACAAATTATAAATTATAACTTAACAAATTATAGATTATGATTTTAATCAGAAGTTATTAATCTGTTTGGTATAACTGTTAGATTATAAATTTAAGTTGATGAGTAGTGCTTATTAAATAAGCTGTGAAGTAGTTTTTTTAATTAATTTTTATTTTTTATTATTCACTATTAATCTATATTTCTCATAAAAAAAATAATAATAATATTTTATAGTCCATTTGAGTCTTTTTCTATTTTTAAAAAAATAAAAAATAAAAAAATCTAAGAGTATAACCGTGAATTAGTATGTCCACAACAGAAGCTGATAATTAGAAGTAAGGGGTGAGCAGCTTCTCATAATTAATTTTTTTGACTTAAAATAAGTTATTAGAATCAAAAGCTGTTTGAAATAAGTTTAAGTTTAACTAAACAGTTCAAAATAATTTTTTAAAAATCAAAAGTCATAAGTTAGCTCAAAAAAGGCCCACCAAACACCCCTTAATACGATGCTTGAAGTGCCAAGGAAGCAATAGATTGGTAATAAATACCTACAAAATTTATTGAGACAGTCAAGTTACATATGCCACCCTCTTTATTAAAAAGTTACATGTTTTGTTGATAATAGAAATCTATATTTCCACGATAATCAAGTAGTAACAAGGTAAAGCGCGCAAAGTTAAAAATGAAGTGGCAATGGGTGCCTTAATTTCAATTCTTTGTAATTGAAGGTTTTTTGATAAAACAAAAAAAAAAAGAAAAAAAAGAAAGAGAGAGAGAGAGAGAGAACAGAGACAAAACAAAAACAAAAAAGTTGCAATGGTTTCCATGAAACAACAATGATTCATCCCACTAAAAACATCACCACTAATAGCACTAATGCATTAAAAAAATAAAAAAATAAAAAAATAAATACAACTCCAAGACCAAAACATCACATCATTAATAGCGGGACCCACTGCCACCTAATTAGTGGGAGTACTAATTAGTGCTCCCAAACATTTTTCTTCCATGAAAATAGAAAATTCCCTCATTCTTTCGTGATGTCATAACACTTGAATTCTGAAGTAGTTTTAGAATCTATCACAATTGCTCCATTTTTGAAATTCTTAGCCTGATATCAAAGCATAGGAAAAAGCAAAAACTACCGTGGTTATTCTTTTGTAGCAAAAGAAGTGGAGGCAAAGAACAATTCTTTCTTTTTTCGCCACCACCCTTCCTAACTTTATCCTCTTTGGTCCAATACAATAACTACAAGTAATCTAAAATGTTTCAAACAATTTTTACTTTACATCCCACTTACGCTGTGTTTGATTGGAGGATTTAGGGAGAGATTTAGAAAGGAAAAGGGAAAAGGTGTGTGAAACTAAGTGAAATATAGGTATGTTTTATTCACATTTCATCTACCTTTTCCATTTCTCTTTCCAAATCCCTTCTCAAATCTCCCAACTAAACACAGCATTAGAGTCAGAAAAAGAAGAGAGAGATATGTAAATCAGAAAAGAATCTTACTTTGCTTGCTTTAAAGTTTTCAAAAATAATTCTTTGAGTTTTTAATTCATATTTTTATATTTTTAAATCTACTTAATCGTTATATATTTAAAAAATATAAATTTTGCATAAAAATCTTTAAAAATTCATTAAATATAACAAAATATGAGAATGTACTTAATTTTCATATTTTTAAAATTTTTAAATTTTTTTCACTAATATTATATTTTTTAATTGTATAAATATTATATTTTTTAATTGGATCTAAAAATTAAAAGATTACATATAATATTAAAAAAAACGTGCTAAAAATAAAAAATAAAATACTTAATTTTTGAAAAAATGGAGATTACCGAACAAATGAGATTACCAAAATGCATCAATTCCTTTATTTTCAATCTTACAAAATTTCTTTAAATCACAAAAGGGAACAAATGTGATTACGGAATGCATCAATTCCTTTCTTGGCACAAAATTCTTTACATTACTTTCTCTTATTCCAATGATGCTGTGAGCCTCAAGATAAATCAGCCCACAAAATGATATGCTTACAAATAGAACATTCAGGCATCCATGTAATCATATTACAAATTCAACTGCTCAAACAGGAAAGAAACATTTACCTTGTTTTGTGAAGCATTAATTTCAACACAAATGCTATTTCACTACTGGTTGTATGTTGAGGTATTTTAAGGACTTAGCTGAAATTTACTATACACACAACACAATCATCATGATTAGAAATACTAAAAGCATCATTTGAAAATATATATATATATATATATGTTAAGGCATATATTTGATTAGGGAACCTTCACACTCCAATTTAAAGTACTTCTTACAGCATGGCGTCAAAACGTTCAACCTTCACTTTTGGTGTAGGTTTTAAATGAAAGGCTTTGATCTAGCTTATCTAAAAACAAATTATACCTGCAGCCACCAATGTTGCATACGAACCTACAACAACACTACAAAATAAGAATAATTATATATGGATTACGCCCTTTACGTTGTGTTTGGTTGGGTGGTTTGGGGAGAGATTTGGAAAGGAAAAAGGAAAAAGTGTGCGAAACTAGGTGAAATATAAGTATGTTTTATTCACATTTCACCAATCTTTTTCATTTTTCTTTCTAAATCACTCCTCAAATCCCCTAACCAAACACAACATTAGTGAATGATGAAGTACCTTTCAATATCAATACACAACATGCCTTGGGGTTCTCCCGCGCGACCATAATGACCAGTAAATCATCAACATCCATCTACCCAGTGGCAAACTCGACTCGACTTCACTCCAGTCAATTGACCTCCTCACATGACATTCTCAACTCAAGCCCAAGCGGAGGACTACCTTACTATTTAGGCCCGTTTGGGCCGAGTCCGAGCCCAGCTTGGGCTTGCACTTGGGTTTGGGCCATCATTTTGAAGTTCAGTCTGGCCTATGGGCCCGTTTAAGGCTCACTCAAGACTAGGCTCGACCGAGACCCAGTGCATTTTTAAATGGAAAATAATAAAATTTAGGTAGAAAAAATTTAAAAAATAAAAAAAAATATTTAGGCCCACCCAAATCCGGTCCAAGCCCGAGCCCAGGGCCCAGCCCAACACTTGACCCACCGATCTGCCTAAGGCTCGAATACCTCTGGACCTGAGCCTACTTTTCTGACCCGTGGGCCAACTCGGATCAGCTCAAATTTTGACAAGAGCTCGCGAGACCCGACATGGGTCGGGTCAGGTTGGCCCAGGCCAAATTTACACCCTACATACCTCCGTTTGTTTCTTTATTGGGTAGCCTCATTGAGAGGTGTCAAACACATATAATAAAACACATATCCATTGAATATATTACTTGACACACCTACCTCAATTTTTTTTTTTTTTTTTTGGATATACTCAAACATACCTAGTATATATCCAAACTGTATCGTATTTCAATCTAAACAATATTTTCTTCTATTACAAAGATAAAATTCCTTTCCCTGGACTTTTTATTTTTATTTTTAATTTTATACTTAGCATGATTTTAAAATGAAGCTATAGTTTGTATGTTATTTAATATAATGACATTTAATTTTGGTTTATACCTTTACTTGTGACTTTAAATATTAATTGTAGATTGGGTCTTAACAAATTAACCAATTAATCAAGTTTTGCATTACTCCAAATTAAAAATAAATATTTTTTAACAAACGTACCAAGTCATACCCGTATCTTACTTTTTTTTTTAAAAAAAAAATTATCGTATCAACGTACTTGTATCATATCTGTATCAGTACTTGTAGCCGTTCCTATGCTTCATAGTTGAGCAATAAGGATAAAATACGGACCAGTAAGGCGACCAAAAGCCCCCTACTTCCGTTATTTGGTGGAAAGATCATCTTCTATAGGATTGTAGAAAAAAGAACCAAAGAATAGCAAACATAATTAATTAAGCAATCTGAGCACCAATGAGGAGGCAATGTGTAAAAAAAATATCAACTCCTTACCGTGACAAAAGAAGCAAAGAATAGCCAACAGAAATAAATAAGCAATCCGAGAACTAGTGAAGAGGCAATGAGCAAAGAAAACATCAACTCGCTGACGCCAATGCCTACAATGTGTGAAAATCTCAAATCCTTGACAACCTTTCGTTTAAATATATAGTGGACCAAAAAATTGATTGGAAAAAATAAGTTCAGTTCTGACTCAACTAAGTCCTGCCTATTTTTTTGGATCTTCCATTTAAAATAAAATAAATAAAACTAAGCTTTCTGAGAGGGAGATTTATGCCGGGCTATGGCGCCAAACCAAATCTGCACGGCCTCTCGGGTTATCACGTTTGGCCGAGCTATGTTGCTGACCAGAGTGCGAAGACATGCATGTGCCCAACCGAGCTGTGACTCGGCTAGGTATTCGGTTGGATCCGCAGTGGTGCGTCTGGGCCGAGCCAAGCACAGCCTGGAATGAATTTAGACCGGGACGAAGGCCGGCACACCTCACGGCCAGTCAGTTCGGATGGACCGACTTCTTACAGTTCGGCCGTCCCAGTCGTGGTGGTGTTTCTTTCCAAGGGATAGGTCGGTCATGATATCCCGGTTGAGTGTGCCTCCTGGACCAATGGTGTGATGGAGGGAAAATCCACTCCTGGCATGCGTCAATACCGTTTGGCAGTTCCACACATGCTGTTTGGAGGTTTTGGCCTATACATGCGTAAGGAAGGTAGAGGGGAGCACTATCACCTGTCTAGGGAAGGACAACAGAGGTAGTGCGCCCACAATCCCTAAGGCTGCGTGGCCAGCCTAGAAAATGACGAATGGGGGATATTGGAGGTAAGCAACCTAAGCAATTCTAAATTCTCTCTCTAAGAGTGCTCTCTTCTCCTTCAAGTGTGCTGACTTGACCGTCAGAGGGTTTATCCGGTAGCACACCGCTGGTCAGCTCACAATTTCTCTGTTTTCACGTCAGG